GTACTAGTATTCAGTAAAGACCTATCTAATCTCACTTTTAGTAAGAGCAAATACAGCACTTACTAAGCATTTAGTATGTACTAGACGTACTAAATGCTCTACCAAGGCCTTTGTGGCACATACAGTTAATATTCTCATTTTACAGATGAAGTAACTAAGTCCCAAGGTTTTAGCACTTCCCCAGATACACACAGGCAACAACTGACAGGTTGGGTTTTGACCGGTAAGCTGAAGCTTACCAAGCACACCAACTAGGGCTAGCACTTGTGTCTTTGGAATTTGTTTTTGATACTCTTAAGAATGTATTACTATAGATTATTTGAAATATACAGGGTCTGGGCCCAGCTGAGCAGTAGCTCAGCTGCTAAAGTCCTCCCCTCATACACTCCGGGATCCCATATGGGTACCGGTTTTAAACCCGGCAGCCCCGCTTCCCATCCTGCTCCCTGCTTGTGGCCTGGGAAAGCAGTCCAGGACAGCTCAAAGCCTTGGGACCCTGCACTCGCGTGGGAGACCCAAAAGAGGCTCCAGGCCCCTGCCTTCGGATCAGCTCAGCTCTGGCTGTTGTGCTCACTTGGGGAGTGAATCATCGTCGAAAGATCTTCCTCTGACTTTACCATAAAAAAAGAAAAAAGAAAAAAAATATATATATATACAGGGCCAGCTTTGGAAATGCAGGTTTGTGACTACAAGATATCATGGGGCATTGAAAGAGTCTAAAGTAGATCTATTGATGTAACTGCCCTGTGTAGTGGCTACTTTGTTTTCATTTCCAGACTACTTAAATGATTTGAATTTAGTGATTTTTAATTCAGATTCATTTTTGGTATTTTGAACTGGTAGTAACACTTTGGGTCAATTAGGAATGTTTTATGTATTTTAAAAATCTCAGCTGTTACAAACATTTAGTATTGATTTACTTAAAGACAGAGGGTGAGATCCCATCACCTAGTTTGCTTCCTAGATGGGGACCAGGTCAGGTCAAAGCCTTCCCACAGAGGTGACAGGGACCCAGTGTTTTAGCTGCCATCAGCTGCCTCCCGAGGTGCACATTGCTAGCAGGCTGGTTTAGCAGCCATGTAGCTGCAATTCAAATAGTCAGTCCCATGTAGAATTCAGGCCTTGTCCTACCCTCCTCCCCCTTCCCCCCCGTTACTCTGAAAGCCTGTGTGTTGCCTGGTTTTCAACTTGTCAGTATTTCTTGTTTTCCACCATAGATATCAGTTAACCTACTTGGCAGTATTTGAAATGGATTTTTTCAAGGCGAAGTGCTTCTCTGAGATAGCAATTGGAAATACTGTAACTAGCCAGCAGTTTACACTATAGCTGTAACATGCTGCATTTTTAGGCACTTGTTTTACTGACTCAACCATTTAATGTGTAAGATTCATTAAATTCTATAAAATATTTTACAAGTTTTGAGTTTTCTACTTCTGTTTAATGTATTTGAGATTATTCAAGAGTGTCTCTTTTCCATATGCAATAAAGTTATGATTGCATTGTTGAAAGGTAGTGGAGGACAACTAGGGAGTAGCTAGCATGAAGCCCCTCGGTTTGATGTTCTACTAATGTATTTAAGAAATGACTAATGTTGATATTTCAAAAAGCAGCGAGGACAGATTCTAAGATGACTTTATCAAGTCATGTTATTTCGAGGACAGATTCTAAGATGACTTTATCAAGTCATGTTATTTCTCATGAAAGAGCAACATTATTTCTTGGAAGTTACTGAAGTAGTTTGCATATTTACAAATATGTGGCTACATCGCATATTAAGCTTCATATTTGTGGCTTTCTGTATATTTTTTGAAATTCTTACTGTATTTAAGTCAGGTCACTTTTCAGTACTTGTTAATATAATTTAGTTTTTGCTGAGCTGTTGCATAAGGTCAGTAAGATCTGTTAATAATATTAGTAATATCTGTTGAGAAATTTGCAGGGACTTGCTGTGATTCTCATGAACAGAAAATTCTGGGAGTCTTGTAATGCATGATCTGCCCATGGAGGCTTTGATTCTAAAGACAGTTGTGTTCATTTGAGTTAATTTGGGCTGCTAATAACAAAATGCCCCCAGAGTGGGTAAAATGACAGTGTGGACGCTTGGAGGTCCTGGAGTAGGCCCCAGCAGATGCAGTGTTTGGTGAGGACTTGGGGCTTCACTGTAAGCCCTCCTGTAGTAGAAGAGGATGCTATGTTCTCATATAGCAAAACGAGGAAAGGGCTTCCAAGCTTTCCAGTACCTCCAAGACCACCCCCTTCGTGCCACCAAGGTGGAGATTAAGGTCAGCATGAATTCTGAGCGGGGATGGGAAGGGCTACAAGCGTTCAGACCATAAGGCTGACTAACCTCCTGCATTGGTATTTGCCTTAAATTTTTATTTGACTTACTCAGGTGCTGTAGTGCTATTTGCCAGAAGAGCAAGTTTTAAAAAGCAAGAATAGCCACAGCATGCCAATAATAGTGGGGCTTTCTTCCCATGAACAGCAAGTATGTGATTATGAAAGATTGTTGAAGGTTTTACTTTTATGACAGTTCAGATGTGGGAGAGTGGAAAGGAGGAGGAGTAACAGAAACAATAGGGCATTTCTCCAGAAATGAAGTTAGGATTTCTTTCTTGGTTGGAACTAAAGCTTCCTGGTCTGCTGCATATTGTTTTCAGATCATTTGATTCTATTAAGTAAGCCACTTTACAGTTTTTCCACTAATTAGGTTGTGATTGAACTCTAACTTGTGAAAAATTCTGTTGTGAGATGTAACAGTAGGAAGTAATTTTGACTTTTGTCTTAAATGAGGGGTTCAGTCCTGCCCCCTTTCCACTGCCCCATGTCATGTTGTCACATAGGTTTGCTGGATCCTGCCAGGTTCTTATCGATCATCCTTATTATACCTCTTAACCAAATCATATTGCTTTCCATTAACCTTCAGGGATTAAAAAAAACTCATCACGTCACTGTCTTGAAATTCTTGAAATTCTCCTCATGGTCTGAGAATAGAAGATCCGGACTGGGTGTGGTTATTTTAAGTTTGAGCTATAGCTCCTTATTCATTTCTTCTCTGAGCTCTTAACCTTTAATGTTTTCATGTAGTAAGTAACTTGATTGGACATGATATTTTTTGTTTTCATGTGTGTAAAAAAGTATGAGCTTATAAAATTATTTCATAATTGTCACAGATACTCATTTATGTTACCCAGAATACCTTTTTTATTTTTACTTATTTTTACTTATTACTTATTTTTATTTATATTCACGAAACATACAGTGTAGATTTAGAAGAGGTAGTGTACATATTTACATGTTTATTTTTTCCTATATTAGTGTCCATCAGCAAAATCAGATTTTTAAAAACAAATTTGTGAAAAAAATTAAAAAATAAAAAATAAAACAAATTTGTGGGTTATATCAAAGAAGTTGTGATTAAAGATAAACAAAATGCCTGTTTTTAATGCACTCTTACATAGGACTTTACTGTTACTGTAAGTTTTAGTGATTTTTCACTCCACAGCTTTGAAAACTTAGCCATCTTGAAGTAATAATTAAGAAAAAGAAAAGGAGAGAAGAAATTATCTTCTTGGATTTTTATATGTTTACTTTGTGCTTGGTGCACATTCTTATTTATTCCCAGAAAAACTTAAGAGGTACAGAATGTCTCAGAATAACGGATAAAAGAAACTGCATGAAAGATCTTCGAGCTCATCGCCAAGAGATCTCTCCATACCCTGGCTAATTGCACAGCTGAGGAATCTGTTCTGATGAGGCCTCTGTCGCTGTTAAAGTTAATTTGTTTACTTACTTAAAAGTTGATAGAGAACTCAAACCTGGTGGTTCAATCCCCAAATCTCCCCAACAGCTTTAAGTGGGTCAAGCTGAAACCAGACTTTTTTTTTTCCCCAGGAACCTAGAATTCTATGAGTCTCCCACATGGGTGGCAGTAACTGAAGTACTTGAACTATCATCCACTGCTTTCTAGAGAGCAAATTAGACAGGAAGGTAGACATGGGTGCCCGGTGGGGACTTCAGCCCAGTCACTCTACAGTGCCAAGCAGCATCCTAAATAACAAGTGTGAGGGATCTGGTGAGGTAGCCTAATGGCTAAATTCTAGCCTTGAATGTGTAGGGATCTCATATAGGCACTGATTCATGTCCTGGCTACTCCACTTGCCATCCCGCTCCTTGCTTGTGGCCTCAGAAAGCACTAGACGATGATCCAAAGCCTTGGGACACTGCACCCGTTTGAGAGACCGGAGGGAAGCTTCTGGCTCCTGGCTTTAGATCAGCTGGGCTGTGGCTGTTGCAGCCACTTGAGGAGTGAACCAGTGGACAGAGTCTTTCTCTCTGTCTCTCCTCTGTAGAGCTGGCTTTCTAATAAAAATGAGCCTTGTGACTGTGGGTTAAATTATTGACTTGCTAACAATAAATTATGACGTGATCCTTGTAATAATTTTTGGTAGAAGAAATGGCTGCATCTGATGTTAGAAATTTCAAAACTAGTGAATTATAATGAATCACATCCGCAGTTTAGATTCACTAGTAGTTAACACCTGTCCATATTTGGTGTCTACACACACATAATCTTTTGGGTTTTTTTTTTTTTAACCATATGAGAGTAAGTTTTAGACATCATGGCATGTTGTCTCAAGACTCTTTCATTGGCAAATTTTTTTAAATTTCCCTTTTTAGTCCAGTATTCAAACCAGATTTATTTATTGTGGTTTTTTGTGTTGCTTAAGTTTTTGAACTTTTTTTGAGTTGTCCCAGCCGATTGCTTTTAGAATGCTTACCTTCTAGATTTGTGTGATTGCTTGCTGAGGAGTGCATTTATGTGAACTTACCATGCAAAATAGTTCTTGTTTATGCCACATCTGTGATATGGCATGCTTGATTCTACTATGTCAGAAGACATCTCATGGCAACATAAAATTTAAGATATCATTATTTTGTAATTATCCATACTGAAGACATTATTGCCTGAAATGATTATGGTTTTTTCTTTCTAATAGACAACGACTGAGCGGCCTTTCATTCAGAAGCTGTTTCGCCCTGTGGCTGCAGATGGACAGCTGCATACACTAGGTGACCTCCTCCGGGAAGTGTGTCCTGCTGCAGTTGCTTCCGAAGGTAATGCAATTGTCAGTGGGTTTTTGGGGGTTTTTTGGGTTTGTTTTGTTTTGTTTTGTTTTGTTTTGTTTCGTTTGGTTGAGTTTGTTTTTGTTTTGTTTTTTTCTGGCCCCAAGTAATTCATTTTTATTTTAAGATTTTTTTTTCTTTACTTTTGACAATCTTTACCTAGTTAATTGCGGCACAAAGGTTTAAGGGCTACAGGAAAGTGGGTAAGACTATTAGTTCCGTATTTTCTTTTTTTTTTTTTTTCCTGTATCTGGGGAAAAGGGGGAGATAAAGAGAGAAGCCCTACCGAGCCTCCCACCCATCCCAGGTCCCTGATGTGGGGCATGCCCCGAGGACACTGCTCAAGTGGTTTTAATAGTTCAACAGTTATGAATTGCTGCCAGTCTCACCATTCCAAGCACGGTGAGGTCGCTGCAGAGTCCACTGACTGACATAGTCTACCTTAGAGTCTCCACTTGCCCAGATTTTCACTGCCAACACTTGGCTGGGGTAGTTAATTGATTTGTTCTGTCCTCCATCCTCTGTTGTGGTGCCACGTATCCTCTGCAGGTTCCAATGGACTGCCATATCCTTCACGTGCACCTGGTTGTGCTGTCCACTGCTCTGTCTGAGTCTCTGAGGAGGCTCAGCTCTGCCACTTGCACTCAATGATAAGACCATGGAACCTGCAGTTCTCTTCATGGTTGCGGTTCTGAGTCCGGCAGTTCAGTTGGGGAGCTCCCCAAAGAAATTTTGTCTGAGGTGATCCCAGACCTGATTCTTGGGTGTACTTGCCAGTACAGGGTCCAGCACAGTCTGTTGCCTCAATCAACTGGTGGTTGCAATTGCTGAGTTGGTTGTGTTTCCAGCCATGTCTTCCATGTGCCCCATGGTTGTTGCAGTCCAACCTGATTCTGCCCAGCACACACTCAGCCCTCACACAAAGCAGTGGGAGCTCCAGCCTGGTTGGAGTGATCCATATTAGCCCCCAGCAGGCCCACCCCCTGTCCTGGTTCCCGTGCTTGCCAGCATGCACCACAGACTTGTTCAGTCTGTCCCATATCCCATTCAGCTCTCATACATGTCAATGGGCATTGAAGCCTAGTTCAACCCAACCAGCCCCACTGTCCAGCCCACATACATGCTGTTGGGTGCCGTTCTGTCTAGTCACCTCTGCCCCAGTCCTGGTTTTCTTGCTCCTCAGTGGGAGTGGTAACCCAAGAGGGAGGTGCCCACTGTTTCCCTCCTAGGCCCTGATCATGCGCTTTCCGGATGATTCTGTAGTTTAACTTGACAGAATTAACCATCGCTGCCAGCATCTGCTATCTGATGCTGCAGCAAAGCCCAGCCAACTCTCACCCGTTCTGCTTTATGTTTGTACCAGTAGGAATAGTCAACCCAGCCTGGCTCTTCCCTGATCTGGCTCACATGAGGCCCCAGGTGTTGTATCCCTGCCTGGTCTAATCTGCCCCCATCCCAACTCATGCATTTATAAGTTACATCGAATCAGGTATTTTGGAAAGATCTTTCGTTATTTTGTAGGGAAAAAAAAATGTTGACATAGAAACAGAAATCTGTTCTCATAATTCCTTAGCTCACAGACACCACCACCCAACCCCCTCACCCACCCTGCTTACTCATGTTTGCTTGCTCACTCTCGTTCTCTCTTACACATACACACACACACACACACACACACACACACACTTGAATCAAATGATTGATATCTGTTTGGGGGGGCAATATGTGCATTTAAATAATGGTGTCTTCAGAATTAATGGTCCCTAATTCTGAAAAATTCATAGCCTGAAGGAAATTTTATGCCTTATTTTCAGTGATCATGGATTTTGGTAGTGAGCTGTCATGATATGTTGTGGAATTTTTGATTTCCCACTTGTTCACCCTGAGAAGTTTTTGGTTTGGGAACTGTTCAGATATTTGGATCAAGGTTACTCAACCTGTAGCAGTAGGTAACTACTGCATCATAAGGTTCATTTCAGTGTCACAATGCTATATGTTTGTTATTGCATAGAAAGCTACTTGTTACATATGGGAAAACATGTAAAAACTACTGTAAATCCTAGATCAGAAGAATTGGAAGGTGTTAGTAAATAAGGAGTTAGTAGTTCAGTAGATAATGCTGTTTTTCTTATGACCATATTCTAAATTAGGGAGAGAATTATTTACATGATTTCTAACTATACACACACACATATATAACTATACATGAGAAAGCCTGTAGAATATAAGAAAATAATTTGTCTAAGAAATAGTCCAGACTTGGGAGGAATGTTAATTATCCCACCTAAATGACTAAAATATCTTGGAGCCTGCAATATGTGTCATTGGTTCTGTGAATAAATGGTTTTTCTTAGTATGATGTGCTTGCCTGTATTTGCATTGTGTGTGCTTCTGCCATGCTTGTGGTGAGCAGAGGCTCTTAGAAAGGAAAGAGAAGGGCTTCTAATATACCATCGGACACAGCACTTGAAGGAACAGAGTGCTGGCAAGTGCCCCAAATAACAGTAGTCCAACAATTGTTGAAAAGACTCATTTGTTGAAAGAGTTTATAAATAGGCCCTTGATACTACTAGACTGCAAGGTTTCTGATGATGTCTTACTTCCTCCTCTCTGTCGCTAGGGCCAGTGATTCTGAATGTTCCTATTATTGCATTTTTTTCTTTGTATCATTATTATTGTGAAGCATATTACTTATCATTAAATTATGGAGTAAGTATCAATGAGTTGCCTATGATATTGTCCTCAAACCCCACTTCAACTTTATTACTATATAATTTAGTTTTCAGCTAAAACTTTTTTTTGACAATTTAGCAATTTTTAATAAATTTTTTGAGTTGTGCAGCCATCACCACAGTTTGGTTTTGGTGTATTTCTCTCACCTCAATATTCTGCCCTTGCCTCTGCTCATAGAACACCTAGCTACTTTTGTCTCTATAATTTGCCCCTTTATTAGGCTATTTCACATAAATAGAATTGTGTAAATCTTGCAACTCAACTTGGTTTTTTGGGTTTTTTTTGTTTGGTTGGTTTTTTATTCATTTGGGCCAGCAATGTGACAGCAGTTTCACCGGCAAGTGTCGCTTGTTTTTTTCAGTACAGCCATCATGGTGGTTGAATAGTTGCATATCGAGTTAGCATTAATTTGCATTTCTCTAATGAGTCATGGTGTTGAACATGTTTTCATATACTTATTATTAACTTATAGGTATCTGATGGAATGTCTGTTCAAACTCTTTTCTGGTTTTTTTTTTAATGGTTTGTTATTACTAAGTTTTGGACATTATTTATGCTTGTGTATACTGAATATAAGTTCTTTTACCAGATAAATGAGTCATCGGTGTTTTCTCCTACTTCATGACTTGTCCTTTCATCTTCTTTTGAAGAAATAGTAATATAAGTTCTATCTTCTAGGCTTTATAAGCATTGTGCTCAGTTAACCGATTTAGAAAAATTTCTCATTGTCCAGCACACTGACATAATTCCAAAATAAAGGTGCGTGTAAGGGAATGCAGTAGCAGCACTGTCTCCCACTGCCAGCAAAGTTTTCCCTGGAGAGCAGCAATGCTGCCATTTCCCTCTGCCTCTGAACTTATTTCTTTATATTTAAATTCAGGTTTACAGAAGGCAACTTTCATGGATTTAGAAGTAATCTTTACTGTTCTAGTTCATTTTTCCATGTTGCAATGTTGTTGTTTTTGTCTGTTAAATTTCTATTTGTAGTATTTTTCAAGGTTACAGTAGAGACCAGGGTTTTCCTTAGAAGTACAAGAGGTAGCTAATTTCCATTGCTGCCCTAGCTGGGCTGCAGCTCTGTCCTCCCCATTGATTTTTTAGTTACTTGTGCTCTGCTCTGATTTTTTTCTTATTACTCTGTACTATTTTGAAGAACATTGAAGGTTTTTTTTTAATCAAGTGTAAGACAAATGAATGACATAACACTTTTTCCCCTTGTCTTTTGACAGTGTACTTTCCCCCCAAAAAAATGTTATTTTAAATTTACTTTTTTAAGATACTGTGTTATGATCTGGCCTCAGTTTTGGTTTGGCCAGACTTGGCTATTGAGCCATTTATAGCATGAATCAGCAAGTGGAAGATTTTTCTCTCTGTCTGCACATGCATGCATATGTGTGTACATGTCCTCTGTCACTCTTGAATTCCAAATGATGAATAATAGATCTTGAAACAAAAAAGGGGGACAGGATACATCTACTTGTTCCGTGTGTCATTCTACAGCCAGATCACAGCAGTGCACTGAAAATTAACATGAGCCTTCCTAAAAATCCTCCAGGCTATTAATTCTTTTAAGGACTATTGTTCTCTCCTACATTTGTAGCCTGTCCTTTCCTGGAAAATCCACAGTGTGACTTCTCTTTTGAGTTTTTTGAAGAGAGGGACAGTGAGGTGGCCACTCACAACTTTAATCCACTAAGCTGCCTGCCTCCTAGTCAATTTCAAATGCTCTAGGTGAGGATATTTGTGCAACAGACTGCTTTCCACCCAAACTGTCACATACTTTGAGAGACACATGCCTCATTGAAATGACGTAGTTATTTGATATTGTCTTTGATACCAGGAGGAGGCCATACCTCCAATGCCAATATTTTGTGTTTTAGAAATGTTTTTATCTTGGTGCCTCTTTCTTGGAAGGAAGGCGTCATAGTTGGAAAATAACTGCCATTTGAAAGTCCATAGAGTATCTGATGCATCGAGTGTCAGTTTCATTAAAGGTCTGTTTACTGTACAGGTCAGTACACCTGTGTTATTTGCAAAGGTAAACATTTTAACACACCTGCTCTCAACTTAAGTTGAAAGCGAAAGACTTTAAGATTGGGCGGTTGTGGATAAAACTTGGCTGTCATCATATAAAAAGAGAAAGTACATCATAAAAGTTATGTGGCATCATTGTCTCCTGCTCCCCACCGTGAGTGATTCAGACTTCAAGGAATTCTCTCCTATTTCATCATAAGAAGATAGAATGTACTAATATTTAT